TCTGCACGGAGTTTGTGGGTTGGGTTTTTTATTCGTATCTCCACCCGTAGAGCTTGGCAACTGACTCAGCATCTGCTTACAAGGTTCCCCCCGAGCATTTAACCTCTCTTCCCTGTAGTAAGACGACAGCATCCGTGCCCGCAGGCTCATAGACCCATTAGCTCATCTATCTAGTACAACTTCCCTGGCACTGGTGCAAGATTGGTCCTAGTTTATGCTCTCCCCCCCCCCCCCTTCTGTGGAGAGAGCTTGATCCTTAGCTGGGCATAGCTTCAGCACAGCAGACACTGTTTTCTAGTCTTGTATTCTAGACAGGTCACTTGGGGTGGGGGGAGGGGAGGTATTGGGACACTTCCAAGCGCCACCTGCAAAATAAGCCCTGCCCACTTTAAGATGCCAAGGTGCTGCTCACAGTAATGTATGCAGATGTTCTAGATATCATCCCATGTGTTCTGTTGGGCCCCCTTGGTGGGACTTAGAAGCCCTCCTGGACTCTGCTAGGCTTCTTGGGGTTTGATGCCATCTTGAGTATTGCGGGAAATGAGGGGTGAAAATCTCTCCCCAAGGGCCACCCACTTGTGGCACCAGAATGAGTGGTCATTCACATGTAATATGTCCGCTTTCTAATATGCTCCGTCCCCTTCCTGGCCTCAGGCAGCAGTGAAGTGCTTTAACAATGTTGACATCTCAATAGTCGTTGTTGGGAATCTGAGTCAACATCCCAATGAGGTGAACGTGGCAGGTCACCCGCTCAGAGGTCGTGTTTCAGGCTCTCTGCGGCCAAAGAGCATGCCTGGCACTGTGAGAGTCAGTGGCAATTGGACACTTAGCTCCTACAGGCCCATGTAAGATGCTCCAGCCTTAAACCTTGAAATCACAATGAAATATTTGGGGGTCTGGAATTCTCCTGTGATGTGATCTCCCTGTGCTCATGCTGGGGCCTTCTAAATAGCAGGCTCAGAAAGGAGCCCTTTTAAAAGAAAAAAATCACTTTGACTTGCTACTAGACAAAGGTTGGAGCCAAGGTAAAGATTATGGGCCAGATCCTCAACTGGTATAAAACTGGAGCAGTTCCACTGACTTCAGTAGAATGTCACCAATTCACACCGGCTGGGGATCCAACCCTTCTGTGTTTAGACTCTCCAGACCTGATTCTGATCTCCCCTAAGTTGGGTCTAAAACCAGTGTAGCACCAATGTCTTAAGCAGAGTCACTCCAGCTTTACACTGGTGCAAGAGAGAGCAAAATCACGTTTGTTCTTTCTTTCCTTTGGTCTTTTGGGCTTGATTTGGATCTAAGTTACACTGGTGTAAATCTGGAGTCAGTCCTTTTTAAGTCCATAATTGTGGGCTGGATCCTATTAATTGCCTATTGACTTCAACAGAGCTACATCAGTTTTCACCAGCTGACAAATTACACTGGTGGTTGGGTAAGATCAAAATGAGGTCCTTTGTCTGCCACCTTCTCCATCTCTCTCTCTGTCTCATTCATTTCATCTTCTTCTCCTTCTGTGTGCTGCAGGACAGTATCTTTCCCTTCAGTGGTTCTCTGCACTGAACACAGTGTGATATGAGGTCATTCATTTCTAACAGCTCTTTTCCTTGGGGAGCCCAGGATGGGGCTCCGGGATACAGATCCTCTCAGCCTCCCGCAGCCCTCAAGTCTTGGCATTTAGGACCAGCCCCTCCACTGGTGTGAACTGAGGTAGCTGGAAGTTGATTCTGATTCACTCCAGTTGAGGATCTGGCCTGTAATTTTTAACTGTCTTGTGGTGTCATGGTCTGATGCAACAAGGGTGGTCAAGAGGAGGTCTGACACGCAAACTGGTCCAGTTCTCTTGACCAGAAGAGACCGAGCACTTAACTTGGCCCAATCCTGCTCGTGTTGCAGCCAGCGGTGGGGAGTTTTGCTATCAACTCCAATGGGAGCAAAATCAGGCTTGTGTTTAATGCTGCACGTCACTTCAGTGCAGATCAGGTCCATGTAAAGCGGAAAGCCTGTATGTGCTGTTAATAGAGGATCTGGAGAAGATTCAGCAAGCTTCCTCGGCTGGGGCTTTTCTGCTCTGAGGCTGTTCAGGTGCTTTTGGAAACATGCCCTGGATAATGGACTCATGATGAACTCATCCTGTCAGGAAGGAGGTCTGAGCATGGCTGATTGGGGAATAAAACCCATTTCTTCCACAGAGCGTTTGCTTTTCAGCTTATTATTTTGGGCTCATTTGCAGTTGCTTGTGGTCTAGATGAATGAGAAGCCTGACTGCTGTCACTGTTAGTAGGGGAGCTTTGCTAAGCATTTGAAACCAGGGTTAAAGGTCTGTCTAAGGAGCACGGGAAAGCCAGATTCCTCCTGTGGTCCTATGGGTTTGGGCTGCCTGCACTGCCCCAAGACACCAAAATCATCCCAGAGCCGGAATTGCTCTGGAACAATTGTAATTTGCAGCTGTTCCATGTGAGCAGAAAATTAACACCCCGCCCCCAGTGCCAGCTCAACTCTGGCAGCTGTTTATACAGGCTCCATCCCTTACCCACCTCTCCCCACCTCACCCTACCTCCCTGTTCATATTTGGGGGGATGGAGACATGAATGGAGAGCAGCATCCTGCCTGGGAGCTGCTCAGCTGGCGTAAATTGCTATTAGAGCTACACCAATTTGCACCATCTGAAAATCTGGCCCCTCCTGCTGCAATTGGGTCTGACAAATTTCAGGAGATTCTTACACTAGAGTTACAAGCCCTCCCTCCCCAGCAAAATTAATTTCTCTATTCTAATGGAAACCCAGTCAGATCCTTAACTCTGGAGCTGTGAATAGCAACACTATCAGTTCCAGCAAGAGATGTGGCATTTGCATGCAGAGCAATTGAAGGCTTTTAATTGGTGCTGTTAAACCAGCCTTTCATGTGAATTCATAATGGACACTTAAACAAATCTGTTACTAGAGGGAGTTCCATTTCAGAATCTCCACCTCCTCATTCCAGCAGCTGCTGCAGCTTGACACGCCCCGCAGTCACACCGGATTGTAGCTCTCTGGCCTGGCAGCCCTGGAGCTCGGAGTCCACAGGACGGGTACAGCGTGGGCATGGCAAGCATCCCAGCACATGATCCTCAGAGCCCATCCGGGGCCAATTCTAGCCCTGGGAGAGGAGTGGGATTTAAGGCTCTAGCTGGAGCTGCACAGATTCAATGGAGCCGTGCAGATTTCCATCAGTGGAAGAGCTGGCCCGTCCCTTCTATAACGATTCAGCACTGCCTTTTTTTAACTGAGGCTCCCAATTCGGATGTGTACCTCTGCCTGCTGGGCAGCTTTGTGTGTGTGCAACCTAGTGGATAATGCACTGGCCTAGGACTCAAGAGACCTGCATTCTATCTCTGAGCTGCAGGGGGACCTTGAGCAAGCTGCTGCCTCACTCTGTGTCTGTTTCCCCATCTCTAAAATACGCATAATGATACTGATCTTCCTTTGTAGAGTGTGCTGCAAGCTACTGATGTGCTATTTATGAACTAGGTGTTGTTATTACTAGTAGGAACACAACACTGATCTTGCCTAGACTACCAAACAGCCCTTAGATGACTTATATATCTGAGTCTCTTTGGGCTTGGGGTCAAATGCACCCCTGGGATGCTCCGGTAGGCTTCAATGGAGATTTGGTTCCAGAGTTGGATTTGAATGAGAGCATAGTGGTAGAGGTCAAAACCACTGTGGGGCTGGAATTTCAAACGTCCTCTGCTCCCACTCAGACATCTGGATGAAGTGGCCAGATTTTCAGCTGAGTTCAGGACCCAGCACCTCCCATTGTTCTCAATAGTGCACAGGAGGGGGGGTGTGAGGAGCAACCATTGTTCTCAATGGGAGCTGCTGCAACATGAGCTCTTGAAATTCTGGCCCGGGAGGGCTCGAGCCGGAGGGGACTCTGACTTGAATGGAGCTGCTGCCATTCATACAAACTGAGGAGCCGGCTGGTTACCCTAGTAAAAGATGAGCCCAGGGTTTCCCAGCTTTAACTCAAGGTCACCGTGTGCCCAGGGAAGGAGTCGTTATCACACCACACCGTGGCCCTTTGCGATTTAGGGGGGAATCTAATGATCGAATAGTGGCATTGTGAATTTTAATTTCTCATGTGGAGCTGCGAGCTCAGGTGAAGAGCAAATGGACTGAGAGAGATGCAGCAGCACAAACATACCCAGGTCACCTCAACCGCAGAGGCCTAGCTGTAGGATCAGGGTCTTCTTTTTTTATTGGTAGTACCAGTGGAAGGTGCCGGGCTGACATTTTGAAAGCCCTGGAGGCCAAAGACCTATAAGATACATCACCACCCCGATCAGCTGTGCAAGCTTCCCCCAGCCTGTTCAGTCCATCACCTCTCCTCAACGGGAGGGTCAGACAGTGGTGGCTTTGTGACGTCCTGGCCTGTTCCCTGGGAAATGGTCTAAGAGCCACCCGAGATTCCCGATCTGATATGAAGAGGGGAGCTAGAAGTGAAGCGCTCTGTAGTTGTATCATCTTCCTGGTCCTTGTGGTCTTGGTCTTCGACACCAGGGTCTGTTATGAAGAGTAGAGCAGGGCCGAGCCCTCTGACCCCAGCAGAGGTGACCACTTTAAGAACATCCCCACCGGGTTCTGGAGGGCAGTGGTTACCATGACAATGCTGGGCTCTGGTGACAGGTACCCAGTGCTAGTTTCCTAGGTGTCACTGGAGGGGTGGCGTCCTCTCCTTGTCTGTGACCTCTAGCAGGGCAAGCTTCTGGGCTCTGCTTTGATGGGGAACTGAAGGAGATAGGAGCAGGGCTTGGGTCAGAGGGAGTGTACGAAATACAAACGACACCAGGAATGTCCTGTGGTTGAACCCTTCCCCTCAGATTTGGACACAGTGTGTATTTTTCCTCCTATCCCCTAGTAGCGATTGATAAGAAGGGGAAGGAAGTCTATTTTGAAGTGCTTTCATCCCCTTTCCTGTCTGCCCCGGGTTGTTCCCCTAACCACTGAGTTCATTTCCTCTTGCAGGTAGTTGCCTTCGCCTCACTCTTCTTCATCCTGGTCTCCATCACGACGTTCTGCCTGGAGACACATGAGGCCTTTAATAGAAATGTCAATGTGACTGAGACGATGGTGGTTGGCAACACCACAAGGGTCCTGCTGACAAATAAGGTGGAGACGGAGCCTGTCCTCACCTACATCGAGGGGGTGTGTGTCCTGTGGTTCACGCTGGAGTTCCTGGTGCGCATCATTTGCTGCCCAGATAAGCTGCTCTTCATCAAGAACCTGCTCAACATCATTGACTTTGTGGCTATCTTGCCCTTCTACCTGGAGGTAGGCCTCAGTGGTCTGTCCTCCAAGGCTGCCCGGGACGTGCTGGGCTTCCTGAGGGTGGTCCGTTTCGTCCGGATCCTCCGGATCTTCAAGCTGACGCGGCACTTTGTGGGGCTCCGGGTGCTAGGCCACACGCTCCGGGCCAGTACCAATGAGTTCTTGCTCCTCATCATCTTCCTGGCCTTGGGGGTCTTGATCTTTGCTACAATGATCTACTATGCCGAGAGGATTGGGGCCAAGCCATCTGACCCCAGCGGCAGCGACCACACTCACTTTAAGAACATCCCCATTGGGTTCTGGTGGGCGGTGGTCACCATGACAACGCTGGGCTATGGTGACATGTACCCCAAGACCTGGTCGGGCATGCTGGTGGGGGCGCTGTGTGCCCTGGCCGGGGTGCTGACCATCGCCATGCCGGTGCCTGTCATCGTCAACAACTTTGGAATGTACTACTCACTAGCTATGGCCAAGCAGAAGCTCCCAAAGAAGAAGAAAAAGCATATACCCCGTCCAGCCCCACTGGACTCCCCCACGTACTGCAAGTCCGAGGACAACTCGCCCCGCAACAGCACGCAGAGTGACACCTGCCCCCTGGCAGCGGAGGAGGTGGTGGTGGAGAGAAAGCGATCAGGTGAGATGCAAAAGCCCAAGCTCAATAAGAGGGAGGAAAAAGTGCCAGGTATGTAAGTCCCGCCTAATGGAGACTCTAGGGAAGAGTCCACGCCCAGTGGGGTGTTTGGCTGACTGCTATGGTTCAATGGGGACACTCCAGATTCATGCTGGAACGAGAGCAGAATCTGGCCTGATGCCATCACCTCAAGGCGAGGCTGTCCCAAAAAGGGCCAGTGGCACTCAGATATTGATTTTTTTGAGAGGGACTCCAGGCCTTCGACAGAGGCAGCTGGCTCAGGTGATCGCAACATTATGGAAGCAGAATCCCTGGAAAGCAACTAGGAACGGAGCCGCATGGACCTGATTCTGCTCTTACGCTGGCATAGATTAGGAGTAAATCAGTAGGGTCTAATTCCTCTCTCTCTCTGCCTCTGGGGTAAACCAGGAGTAACTCCACTGAAGGACTGCCTGATTTAAAAGCCCCCATGGGATCAGAAGCAACCCCAGTGTGTTAACCATTTTGCCTAACCCGAGAGCGAAGGTAGTAGCGATGAGTTTTATTCAGTGTTGCTTCCTGTCCATGGCTGGCATTTCTGTCTCGGTGGCTAGCATGTGCCATGCTTCCCATTGCTAATGGCTAGCTAAGAGAATTGCACTAAGCCATCGGCAAATCCTCTAAGTGCCTCTGTGCTAGCAGCTAGCCCAAAAGTGCCAGTTACTAGCCAAGCACTATGCCTCAGTGTCTTTTGGGCTAGCCTGGCCTGTGCGTTGCCCTGACACCTTCCTAGCTGGCCTGGCCTGTGTGGTAGCTAGCAGCTAGCCCAGCCCATGCGGTGCTCCTAGGCCCTGATAGCTGGCCAAACCCATGTCGTGACCTTGTTCCCTAGTAGCTAGCCCAGCTTGTCCTGTGCCACGTGATTTGCCTGAGCTGCTCCAATGATCCCTTTCGTCTGGAGCAGGTCAGGAAATGGAATTTCCATTCCCTGGGAAATTCCGACATATCAAAAGTTTGTTTTAATTTCAAATTTTGGAGCAAAATGCGAAACATTTTGAAATGTTCTAGTGGATGAAAATTCTGGGGCCATCGAATCGGTTAGTTTCAATATGGTAACAATGTTTCCTTTCAATAATGTTACAACGTGACCATACCCAATTGCACAAACGTGGCCTGACGTTAAAATTGGCATTTTAATATACACGTCGAACCAAAATGAATCAAAATGATACAGGCAAAACAAAATGGTTTTTACGTTATTGCAACAAACCTCGAAATGATTTGTTTTGACTTTTTCCTCTTGACAATGTTGTTGCAATGGACGCTGATCCTGGCAAACATTTTGATTTTGACCAAACCGCATTTTCCGATGGAAAATGGTTGTGTCGAAAATTTTCCTGCTAGTCCCACTTGCATCTAGCAAATCCTTTGCTGTTTTGTCCAGCCTTATTCACACTGCACCGAGCTGCCAGCACCAAGCATCCACGTGTCTTTGGGGTGCAAAGGTTAGCAGCCAGCCCCCAATGGAATGGATTACAGGGTAATAGATTGGAATCACTGCTGGGGTGTCTTCAGAGCACAGCCTGTCATTGGAGCACATTGCTGCATGCTCCTGATTTGTGCTGTATCTCCTGGTGCCAACACTTGGCAGTAGTTAAGCTCAGTGTGGCTGCTGCCTGGGGTTTGCCTCTCTGGGATTTCTTGCTACAGACTCCTGGCTGGCAGAGGAAGGCACTCTGAGGCCTCCGTTGGGAGCCTGGCCCCTGATGTTTGTCTCCAGTTTTGAATTGCAAACAAAAGATGCATTTAAATTGCATGGAAAGGCTTGGCTTAGAGCCAAGGAATCCAGAGCAAAAGCTGAAAAGCCATCCTTAGCTTGGCCTGTTGCAGGCCTGGAGCCATCTAGGTCACTGGCTCAAATCTATTGAGCTCAGTTCTGGGTGTGAGAGGCTGTAGATCAAAGCAGCAAATAGATACAATAGCAAATTGATGGTGACCAATAGCTTGTGGGCCGGCTGAAAGTGAGTTGTCTGGGTCTTAATCCAGTTCCCAATGAAGAGGGGTCTTCATCACAAAGCTGCTGTCTACACTGCAAAGTGAAGGGGTGATGATAGCATGGGTGTCAATAGCAGCGTAGACGTGGTGGCGTGGGCTTGGCTACAGGCTAGCAACCAGAGTATGTACCCCAGTGGACTTGTACTCTGGTTGCTAGCCCATGCCATCATGTCTACATAGCTATTGTTACCTAGGCCAGCTAGATTGAAGCTAACATGGGCATGCCTACCGATGCTACAATCACACTTTCGCTTGCAGTGTAGACGTACCCTAAGAACAGGGCCGGCTCTAGCATTTTTGCCGCCCCAAGCAGAAGAAAAAAAAAAAAAGTTGCGATCGCAAGCGGCGGCAGCTCTACCGCCGCTTCATTCTATGGCGGCAATTCGGCGGCAGGTCCTTTGCTCCGAGAGGGAGTGATGGCCCCGCCACCAAAAGGCCAGACGTGCCAACCCCCTCTTCATTGGCCGCCCCAGGCACCTGCTTGCTAGGCTGGTGCCTGGAGCCGGCCCTGCCTAAGACACTAGCATAACTGGCACCAACAGGCCGCCTTGTTGGCAATCTCAGCAGAGAAAACAAGGACTGAATGGGCTGTGGAGACTGAACTGCCCTCTGGCCCCAGGAGTTGGTGGTATTTAAGACATGTTTGTGAGGGAAGCTGGCCCTGCTACTTCCCCTGATCATACTTGCCCTACAGAGGAATCTCCACCCTCCAGGGCTCTTAATCTGGTGTCTTCACCAGCACTAAATTCGCACCATGTACAGGGCCAGATCCTCAGCTGGTGCAAACTGCTGTAGCTCCACTGAAGGGCTACACTGAATTACACCAACCGAAGATCTGGCCCTGCTCATGTTCCCTCCTGGGTGAATAGTGGGGCCTGCTACAGGCCTGTGTTTTATACTCATCAGCACAGGACCTGAGCACCTCTGTTAAAGGTGCAGGAATTTCCTTTCTAACCCCATGTTTGTCCACACTCATGGAACATTTCCCTTCTAAATGGAAAATTTCCATCCACAGGACCCAGCTCTCAGCCAAAATCCACTGGGTGCAGCTTGGGACAGTTGTAAAGGAGCTGGGGGATAGTTTCCCAATCCTGCAGGTGGCTATTTGTTGTAATTCAGAGCCGCCTCAGGATTGATCTGAGGATTGAACCCAGAGAGCCCAGGTACTGAGCTGGTATAAACTGGCGCAACTCCATTGGCGTTACTAGACCAGATCTTCAACTGGGGTAAACTGACATAGGTCCAATGAAATCAGTAGAGCTTCTCCGGTGTACACCTGCTGGAAGGTGGCCTCCGTCTCTACCTAATGGTGGATTTTTATTTTTTGGAAGGTTTGAACAGAGCCCCTCAAGTTATTTTTGATTTATGGGAGAGCGGCATTAAATTCTCTGGGGGATGAGCCAGCAAACCCTATTGCTGCCTCAGTTCCACTCATATCAACTTGGGCCACATAAGGGGGAAGCTTGCCCTACCATTTCCCACGCTGTAGCTAGCGGGCAGTCAGCCACACAGCCTCCCTGTTGCCAGTAGCAGGAGCAAGCAGACAAGTATCTTGGCTTGTCAATTTCTCTGGAAAATTGATATTTTTCATCCTTCTTCCCCCTCCTATCCTGGCCCTGAAGACTCCAAGCAGAACGGCGATGCCAACACAGTGCTGTCAGACGAGGAGCAGCCCCTCTCGTCCTCACACGAGGAGAAGCGGCCGATGAGGCGCTCCAGCACCAGGGACAAAACCAAGAAAGCGGCCACCTGCTTTCTGCTGAACGCCGGCGATTTCTCCTGTGCGGCCGACGGCGGCATCCGGAAAGGTACAGGCGAGACCCAGAGGCATCTGGTGGACAGAGTGACAGCACGGGTGGGGGAGATGGAGGACAGAGGGTCGAGTATGGACACGTAAAGCTGATTTCCCACCGGGGGTGGGGGAAGGCGGGGGGAGGGCATTTCCCAGTCACTTCCCCATTAGCTCCCCCAATAGCAGTCCCCTTCAAAAGCAAAATGCTTCGTTTCTCAGAAGAAACCCCTCCACCATCGCATGAGAATGGCTGTTTAGAAGTGAATGCCGGAGCTGAGGTTGCCCATAAAATGCCACCTTGCCCTGAGCTTTGGCTTCCCCGGGCTCATTCCTTCACTGCGTGCCACAGGCATGTGCCGATCTTACAAAGGGCTTGCCCAGTGCGCTATGTGATCCATTTCCATTGTCCTGTGTGACCTTTTTCCTCTTTCACATCTGTCCCCAGGAGACCACTAGGATTGTTTCCTTCCCGCCTACTCCATCTCCCTCTACCTTTGTCTTTCTGTGCTAATTGGAATCCCCTTTGGGCTTCTCTTACCCGTAATCCTCACCTGTATTCTCGGGGTCCTTCTTCCCCATCCACACCGAGCTGCTTCACTAGCCACAGCATTACCTAGAACCACTGGTACTTCCCTGCACCTTGTCTAATCATTAGTTACACCTGTGCAAAGCGAGTGTAATAAGCTACCAGTTCAGCATGATAGTGCTTTACGCTCACTTTGCCCAGAGAATCAGGTCTGCTTTATCTACCTGCCTCCCATCCAGCTAGACTACCTGCCTGTGAAACTACCTTGCCACCAGTATCTTCTCTTCTCTTCTTGCAGCTGCTGACTTTTGTGCCAGCTTCCTTACCCTCCAGCTCTGCCCATACCTTGTTCGTCCACTTCCCGACAGGGCATTCTGATGCCACTCAGCTAGCTAGATCCTCAGCTGGTGTAAACCGGGCAAACTCCACTGAAGTCCACGGAGTTCCAGCTACAGCTGGTGAAAATGTTTTCTAGCACAAAAGTGATGCTAGGGCGGGGTTTGGTCAAAATGTTCAGGTTTTGCGATTGAAAAAATAGAAATAGAAATTGGAACATTTTTCGGTGAAAATATTTGGTTTTCTATAAGCACTTTGAGTGTATGGGTTTCGAAACCCAGACCTCGGTACCAAAAACTGTTTCTGAAAACTGAAATGTTGGGCAATTTCAATTTTTCAATGAAAAAACAAAAAATGTTCATGAGAAATTTTGAAACTTTTATTTTTTGTTTTAATTTCCAGCAAAAAACAATTGGCCTTTTCCAACTAGCTCCAGTTACCCTAATTTACACCAGCCAAGGATCCAGCCAATGGAGTTACTGAGAGATCTGACTGAGTAGCCCAAAGGGACTGACCCAGGTGGGTTCGTGCAGGTCTGATGGTTTTGCACTGGGTCCTCGCTCCTCCAGTCCATCAGATGATCACTTTGTGTGGTGTTGTTTCATAAACAAATTCTGCAAAGAGCTTAACTGAAAACTTGGAAAATAAATCAAATCCGGATTTTTCTCTTTCCTATTTAATGAGCTGCATAAAGCGATCTGCTGGCTCCGTCCTCTCTTGCTGCGTTTAGAGCTCAGAAGCTCTAAGCAGTGGCTTTGTTCTTTAAATCTGCCACTGAGGCATCATGGCCTATTCCCCCCCTTTCTCTCTCTGTGATGGTGTAACATGATCCAGTGCTTAGGTGCTCTGCTAGTTCTAACCCAGTAGGCAGGGTCAGTGTGTGTGTTACACATTCTCCTCTGTACCCAGTCTACAGAGGAGATGAGTCTCTCACGGTCCCAGCGATGGACCCAGGCAGTTTAGCTCAACCTATAGGGAACTCCGTTTGTTCCTTGGTGTGAGCCAAGAACGTTGGCTGCCATGCTATTGTCTCTTGTGGCATTAGAGACTGGGTGAGCCAGCACTGAGCAGTGCCCAGGGTTGGGGAGCCGTGGGCCACTCCACCAGTGCCAGTCTCTCTTGCAGTCTGAATGGCTAATCCAATGGCAAGAGTCTAGTTCCAGTGTTCTCTTATGACAAGAATAAATAACCCGCTCCAGTTCCCCTTGTACTATTTGCAGACCTGGGACAGGTGGATCAAGACCCCCCCAAAACTAATGGGGGAGTAGCCGCTATGCTCATGCTACAAGGGAGTGTGTGGGACAACGAAGGGGAAAACAGGAACAGGAGTGAGGTCAAAGGTTGAAAGTCAAGGAACCAGATGGGGACACCCTCGGAGAGCACCCAGTGCTCCTCAAAGGCATGAGGCCGTCAGTGGACACTGCCCAAAGGAACTCTGCCCAGAGGTGTGATTGAGCGAGGGAATGGAAATAGGTCCCACAGTTGCAAAGCACACCGCACCCCCGCTCCTAGCTTCCTCCTCCTGCAGCGATGGAGGCCATCTTGGCCAGCACCAGGAGGAGGTTGATAAGGAGGTCCCAGTCCCATGACTTTGTGCATAGATCAGGGAATGCAGGGAAAAGTGCAGCCAGAACCTGAATACAAGGTTCCGGAGGAGCCAGAAGAGGGGCTGCCACCTGACACACCTTACTCCAGTTTCCCTTGTCGTGGCAATAGCTGATCCAGCTCTGAGGAGCTTTGGACCAGCACTGCCTTTCCAGTGGTCAATGTGGATCCAGTACTGTGTCGCTGTGTCAGATCCAGTCTCTCTCTGGCAATGCAGAGAGCCCTGAGTAGCTTCGCCAATTCCATCCTCACTTTGCCATCACAGCTCCTGGCTAATCCAACACTACGCGGGACTGGGCATCACTGCCAGCCCATTGTTGTGATGTAGAAGCAACATTGCTAGACCAAAACTCTCTAGCTCCTCCAGCAGAGATGAGAGCTGGAGCCTTCTGTGTGACTCTGCCATGGAAGGACTCTCTGTTATTCTCCACTAACATGGAGATTAGGTGCCAGATCCAAAGGCCACTGAAGTCCACTGATTTCATTGGGCTTTGGATCAAGTTTTGGGTCAGCTAGGAAATTGGAGCAGCATATTTTGATTTAGTTGGAAATTGGCCCTGCTTTGAGCAGGGGGTGGGACTAGATGACCTCCTGAGATCCCTTCCAACCCTGATATTCTATGATTCATAGAGGAGATGGAATTTATAACATATGAAGCTTCGTGCTTTATCAGGTGAAGGAAGGAATTAGAAACTCAGAGATATTAGGATTTTCAGATTTTTGGGAGAGTTGGAAGAAAAAGGTCAATTACTTTTCATGGGAAACGTTGAAACATTTTTTATTATAAACATTTTCCTGCCTTTTATTTTATTTTTTTTTAATGAAAAAGCAAAACTGAAAAGGATTTTTTTTTTCAGTGTTCAAAACTAGTTTTTGGTTTAAAAAAATTGACTTTTGTAAGCCAAAAATACCCAACAATGTTTACTAGACCAAATAAAAATATTTTTTTGACTAAAAGAATAAAATTGGGGGGGGGAGGGGTTGGTTAAAAAAAAATCCCCCCCCCCCCCCAAAATGTTTTTGAGGGTTTTTTGACCTAAATGAAAAATGTCTGCAAACTTTTTATTTTGGACCTGAAGCCATATTTTTTCATTCACAAACATTTTGATTAAAAAAAGTGTCAACCAGCTCTGATTTGTAAACTTTCAGACCAGACGGGGAAACAGGTTGGGGAAAACAAGGAAGAATTAACACTGGGCTTTTCCCTTTACAGGAAAACCTCTTTAGACAGAGCCTCTGCTGGCGTAAACTGGAAGTAGACCAGCTGAGGATCTAACCTGTTCTCTTTTAAACTGCACAAGTCAATTGTAGAGGGTTGAGTGGGATCTGAACAGGAAGTTTCAGTGCGTGTTACAGGTCTGTCGCATCTTACACGCATTTAACATGCACGAATTCAGCTTTACGCGGTCGGCAAAAACAAAAACAAAGCAACAACAAAAGAGAAATAAAAGTATTTAAATTGTTCCTGTAGTGCGGGCGATTCCGCCCGCCATTACACTCAATGTAATTTTGACTATACGTGGTTTTCACTTTACGCGCTGACCGCGGAACGTAACCCCAGCGTAAGATGAGACAGACCTGTACAATGGACTCTTGAGCTATCTTTTATAAAGTCATGATTGCTGATTGATTATATGGTTCCTTTTGCAAGCACAAGGGGCTTTACAAAGGTATGAATTCTATGCATACAGGGGTAACTTGCCATCACCCTCAGCTGAAATGCCATCACCTCTGGAGTGGGATGTGGCAGTAGAATAGCTTGAGCAACACTCCAAGGGTGCTCTAAAACTGAAAGTGTGAGAGATTACTGTAACCAGCTGGAGCAACTGGGAAATGTAAGTGGATGGGATGCAATTACCCACATTAGCTGGGACCCTGGCACTGGCATCCCTTCTCTGGTGAAAACCTTCATGGGATCTTTCATGATGACATGTGGTCAGGACATCTCACCCAACAGAGCACAGTATCCCCTGACACCATGCTGGGGCACTGTTTCACTAACAAGTCCAAGCAAAGCGCACCCACCCTACTGGATCACCAATACTATTTCCTGTAGCATCTGCATTGGTTGCCAGAGATCTCTCATCCAAGGACTGACCCAGCCTGGCCCTGCTTAGCTCTGAGAATCAATGTAACCACTCGTTCGTGGTGCGTGAAAATAAATGGACCAGCACATTCTTTTAATGTCCTCCCCTAAAACATCTAGACCTCCTGGTTGAGATGCGGTCAGAACTTGGTATCAGATGACTTGGGTTGAGAACTGGGGAAGATGCTCATTTGGAGATGTGACTTCCAGTTACTGTGTGATGTGATGAATGATAGGTCTCTGAGGGGTGAGATGGCCATTTCTCAACATGCTTCATGAAACACATTTAGCCTGGAGACTAGTGATTGTTTCTATTAACTGCGGCCTTTGTTTCACTCATTGTTATTTAAAGAGGTTTCTTCGGACCAGAGGAGAGAGAGAGAGGATTAGATATGCTTAGGAGGATGCTTTGTATCCAAATATTAGAACCTTCTAGCTCAATTGTCAGAGGTGCTGAGCGCTC